TTGATTTTCTAGCGTTTTTGAACCTATAGATACTAGGAAGGGATCCAAAAATTTGTACTCACACAAGTGGTACACATCACTAGTTGCACTTAAGATTATGTTTTTGAATTTTCAAGTACTCTTCGTTAGGATGTTTCTCAGATCCGATAGTTATTTGGATGCCGCTTCTCCCAATTTGTATGATGATGGATTTACTCAATTTCTAGCGTATTTTTCAAACTCGGAACAATGGTTACCAATTATATGGTTTTTATTATGAGAAAAAATCCATTAAAACCAAATCTAATTCCAGATAATGCATTGGCCTAACTCCGTGTTTTAGAAACGTGGTTTGTGAGGGATTCACTTAAACATAACCCATACGTAATTTACTTTAGACTGTAATACTTTCAACACAGAAGGCCAACCTCACAGACTCGACAAAAACTACTTTTCTGTGAGATTTTTTTAGGGATCGATTTAAATTTCGTAAGACGATTTACAATTAATCAATTTATCATCATTAAAATATCTGCTAATTTGATGGTAGCGCATGTCAGGAAACAAGAATGCACTTCCTGAACAATCTTAATTGATTCGCCGCGTCTAGCAAATGCGCTCTTAAAAAACTGTAAAGATCAGTCATATTCCATTCCGCTCTACCGCGAATTCCACAGTGGTACCGCTTCGCTGATCTGCAGGTCATTTCCTTCCTGGTAATGGTTTCGAGATTATCATGCATCAATTCAATCAGCTGCACTGGCCAACCAATTTGCAATTATCTCCAGACGAATGCGACGTTGTCGGACCTTTGGGGATACATTCTGATTCCAACATGGTCACGGTTATCTTCGAAAACCTCTTTTATTGACACTTTTTTAGCATATAATAGTAGTTTTAGCCGATATGTAACTGACTGGTTTGTATCTTGAATATTTGTGAAATGAAATAAAATACTTCAATTTTTTTCATCTTAATATTTTACTGAAACTTAGAAATTATGTATTATAAAGAGTATCAGACAAATGTCCGTCTCTAGAAGCCGCGCAAGCCTGAGCCCTCTTGATTGCGTAGACATTCACAACACCTGTATCCTGGTAATGGAGCATCTTAGGACCTATGATCATAGGAACTTTTTTGTTATTTATGAATGTACTTTTTGCTCTAGAAATTTTACCAAGTTTTTCTGGAACACCCTGTATAATCGGCCCCATTAAGAGATATAGTCCATTGAAATTAACCTCACAAATTTGTTGGACAAATACAAGGAGTGGAAATGGTTTTTTGGTCACAAAACTTTTGTTCGCTTTTCAATTAAAATAGCGAAATTAATTTCATCATACCACATCCGTTATTCCGTCCGACGACAAATAGTCCGGTAAAGTTGTTTCGCAACCAGTTCATTTGATAAATATCTGTAAAGGAAGTGGTCGATGTCGTCGGATGTATAGTCTGGTGAAACTAGTTTATCAAGTTTATTTTGCAAACACCTTAAACAGCAGTGGTGGGTGAAATGTTTGAATTCAGCGTCAGTGAGGTCCAGTCTCAGGTTAAATGACCTTTGAATTTACATCCAATGGCATTTTACTCAAGAGTCAGTAACTGCTGTCTTCAGGTTTCTTGGTATTTAACTTCAAGGTCATTAACCTTTGCCTTCAAAATCAATGGCTTTAAGTCTCAATGTTAATCGCGTTTCAGTTCAAGGAAATCGACCTTAGATACCAAGCTTAATGATATTTCAAAGTTAACGGCATTTTATTCTTGAATCAATGGAATATGGCTTTGTCATCCAACCCAGTGACATGAATGACCTTGGAATTTCAGTTAAATTACATTTTATTTTCGGGACCATTGGACTTCAACTCCGAAATTGGTGACTCTGAACTTCACTGTCGATGATGAAGGTTATGAGGTTACTCGTAAACGTGGCCGAAATTCGAAAAATAGGGGTAGATCTTATATATATATATATATATCTTATTATTATTATTATTATTATTATTATTATCTCTGGTTGCCACTCTGCATTTGTTGCTGCGGTAGTGTGGCTTCTCCTGTCAACGATAACATCTACGATATAGAATCCGTATTTGGATTAAAATATATAGAATGGTGAAATCAATTTCACAAATTTATTTGAAAAATATTTTGAAATAAAATTTCAAATGTTACGTATTTATTCAGCATTATATGAAAATATCACATATTTCAGAAAATATATAACAATTGGTGAATAAGTGAATAAGTCACAAAAGTCAAGGCCTTAAATATGGCATAAATAAATAATGTCTACCCCTGTCGTATATCTAGTGACAAAGAAAATTGCGAAATAGTCCTCTGAGATGTCTATCAAACTAAGAGAATACTTTCAACACAAAAAAGCCGCATTTAATTGGGAAGTTATGATGCCACAGATAGACACAGGCATACACACACACCTACACATGCTAAACCTATAACACTCTACATTTTTGTGTCGAAGATTAAAAAAACAACCTCAATGAAACATTTTTTTTCAGCCTCACTAATAAATATAGTGAGTCGTTAATTCATTTGGTCTTTTGTCGTGCATATATGTTTCAAATTCAAATTCAAATTCAAATTCAAATTCAAATTCAAATTCAAATTCAAATTCAAATTCAAATATCAAATTCAATAATAAATAAGCTGAACGAAAAACTACAAAAGCTAAATGTGGAAGCCATGTTGTTAATTCCGTGACTAAGCCAACAATATTATATACGGCTATAAAGCTTTAGTAGTATTATGGAAAATAATTATTACAAGGTTATGAAACTTCATATGTATATAAAATGCAAAATACTATAAGCAACTGTTTATTGACACAGTGGCAGGCAGACTTTGACCTTCGTCCAAGCTTGAATTTTTGTACGGAATCACGGTTGGTGCCAGTTAGTGGCCATACACTTCTGAAAGAAGTGGTTACCTTGCTGAATGCATAATTTATTGCATCATTGATATACAACGTTTTTTAGATAAAGGAAGATAAGATGCATGTTTGTCTATAGTTCAAAAAAGGCTACATCGGAAGTATAAACGTCGGTGTAATCCAAAAGTAATTCTTCATGTCTATAGTTTTTAATGATGGAATCTATCTGATTGGATTAACAAAAAATAATAACCTACGGAATTTCTTTATTATTCTCAAATATCTCCAATTTACGCACTTCATAACGCTATTCTATACAGGGTGGCGCATCGAAAACGAAACAGACGCATTTACTGGCAGCTCAGTTTTTTTTTGGAAAAACGCTCATACCCGCCGAATCACGTTAACACGTGCAGCCCCCTGTTAAATGGAAAGGGGGGTCGAGTGATACCTTATTTTAAAGGTCTTTCAATTCCCTTTTAATGATGTAAAATACATGAGCTTCAGTTCAGTAATTTTGAAGATTTATTGATTTAAAGCTTAAAGTAGACTTTAATAGGTACATCAGATTATTTTGTACTACTTTCAGAAGAATTTTGACTAATAGAATTTACTTAATAAGTAAATGCTTTTCTTCACTACGCCCATGGTTTTTTTTCATTTTGTTGTTGAAAATAGCTATTGGAGCGTTTTTTTGTCGCAAAAAAGTTATTTCTGAAGAAAGATAAGGAAATATCTCGTAATTATTTCAAATAGGAATTTAGTACATAGTACGCGATTGATTTGACCAAACTTTGTTGCTAAAATAACTTGTAACGCTTTATTACATAAATTAACCATGGTATATTCCACAGAAGAAGGAGTTGAAATTATCGAAATATTTTTCGGAAATAATCAGTGCGCTAATAGAACAGCAGAAATATTTAATAAGCGACATGAGAACAGTAACGTGCATCGAAAATATGTTCTAGGTACTCGTAGCTAAATTTCTGGAAACTGGGTCAGTCGCCAATAAAAAACGCAACATTGAAAATCCCATAAGGAACGAAGCAATAGAAGTGGGGGTTTTAGGGCAAGTTTATGTAGATCCTACGTTAAGTACCCGCAAATTGGAGACTGTGTGTGTGGTGTTAGTCGACGTACGGTCCAACGAATTCTAAAGGCCCATAGTTTTCATCCGTATAAAATTCACCTGGTACAAGAACTTAATGAAGACGATTTTGATCGGCGATTACAATTTTGTGAAGATATGAGTGAACGAATTATAAACGATGAACATTTTCTATTCAACACTTGCTTTTTCAACGAATGTTCCTTTTTCTTAAATGGCCTAGGAAATCGTCATAACTGCCGATATTCATACACAGCAGCCACAAAAATTAAATATTTGGGCTGGTATTTTTGGCGATCATTTAGTTGGTCCTTTTTTCTTACCTGGAAATTTGACCGGTGACATGTATTTGGAATTACTGGAAGACGCCATGGTGGCCATTTTCAACATTTACTTGCCTAACGGGTCAGTTCATTCTTCATTTTTAAATTACTTTGCTGCCAAATGTATTGATCCCCACTAATGATGATGTATTAGTTTTCTTTAAGCTTTAAATCAATAAATCTTCAAAACTACTGAACTGAAGTACATTAATTTTATATCATTATAAAGGGAATTGAAAGGCCTTTAAAATAAGGTACCACTCGACCCCCCTTTCCATTTAAGATTTTGGGGGTGGTGTCACCCCCGCTTAGGGGGCTGCACGTACTAACGTGATTTTTTGCCAAACTTGTGTCCCCCTCGAAAACAAAATCGACGGGTCTGAGCGTTTTTCAAAAAAAAACTGAGCTGCCAGTAAATGGGTCTGTTTCGTTTTCGATGCGCCACCCTGTATGTTTCTACTTCCTGATACTACCTGACCCTATTGGGCCAACACTCAATATGACTATCATTAAAACTGCTTCTGTACAAGGTGTTTCCAGAACATGAGACAAAAGTTCAAGACATGATTCAAATTCAGGCCCCTGAAAGACGCTACTAAAAATCAGTTTGTCGATCCATCTGGGTGCCATAACGCAACGTTGCCAGAACGACTTAGGTTTTAACGGGCCAATTCATCATTTTTCTATTGTCACTCAGATAGAATCACTGGCCATAGCCATAATCTGAAAACGAGCCCTCGCTGCTCTCCCCCGCTTGTCGACTTAACTATCCTAGTAAGAAACAAATTCGAGGTTTGCATTGTTATGTTATTGTTATGGATGATCAGATATGACATATTATATGTTTCCCCTTTGATTGCCCTAAGCATTTTTGAGAATTTGAATCCGTACCCAACATATGGGTTATGTATCTACAAAGAATATTATATCACCAACGACCAGGCGCTCAAGGAGGAAGCTCGGGAGAAGAAGTGGCTCTTCATAAGAATCCGGTACCCCTTCAAGAATTCGCATTCAAAAATTTGATTCCCCACGCCCTTCGCAGAATTTAATAACTGATACGCTTACACAATATACAGAGCAGCCACGAAAAACACTGATTAATCCAACGAAATTTTGAACCATGGAAAACAATTAACTCGGTTACTTTATTCAAGATATGCTAGTCCTAAGATAATGTTGCTGAGTTTTTCTTCGTATCCAATCCAATTGACCTTATTGTAAGTACAGTTACCAATGGCGAAGTCTAGCTAATGTCCATTCACACTCAACCATATCACTTAACTCTTAACTACCCTAACCTAAAACGTAGCCTAAATGAAATAGACAAAGTTTTGTCCAAAAGCAAGGAGCCTAGTCGGCCTGGGTACCACTCTGACAGATCAGGAACAGACAGAAAATCAACGTATAATTAAAACAAAAGAATAAAAAAATAAGCATTCTTAAAGTTTTATGGAAAAGCTGCTGATAAACTTTTCTTATATGGTTTAATAATTCCATCCACTGTACGTAAAAGAGGGTTGAAACGTGTCTCACCTATGTTGCGGCATCGTGAGGAAATGTTTTTACGCGCATTCCAATTATGAATCGAATTCCTATAAACAAGCTTTTGCATGAGGAAACAGATGTTTTTAATACTTTGATGACAAATGTGTCAAGGTTTTATTCGAACATATCGGATATTTCTAACAAATTCATGGAAGGTATTTATTGAGAAACGTGATCGTACCTTCTTAAATTGCTTATATAGCTGGATATCTGTGCCGGATGGGAAAATGTAAATTAGGTATTATTGGCACATATGTATATTCAATTTTAATTTAAGAAAAGTATGATTTACTTTCCGCGCCTACTAGCGGGGCAGTATTGTGATCGCAAAAATTTTAAAAATCGAGATATTCGATTTTTTAGACGTTACATGGCATGTAGATCACGAAAAACCATATCACTCATTTCTGTCGGTCTGTCCGTTTGTCCGCTAATCTTATAACAGTCTATAAATTGAGAGGTACTACTCGGATTTCTATAAATTTTTTACATAATGTTGCTACTATGCCAATTACGCAAGAACTTTGTACATAGCTTTTGAAAATCGCTGTAATGGCGGCATAGAAAAAGGACGAAAACGAAAAAGGATAAAAATTGCTCAAGCTTATTTTTTTGACGTTTCAGAGGATCCCGAACATTTTTGAAAAAAAATTTAAAGGTAAGGTAAAAAACTTGACTATAGGAGTTGTAAGTGGTGGGGAGGACTTATCTCAATTGATGTTAGTACATTTATACGTTCCCAACTTTGGTAATTCTACGGACTTTTTAGACATATTTCACACAACATGGTGAGTGTTCTGGTATGGTATTACACGTAGGGATTTGTTCCGCGCCACTGCATAGTGTTCCATGCTCTGACCGCCCTGCACTACCGGTAGGGCAGGGACTAATGGGCTAATTCTATAAACTTATTTGACTAACTTTTTTGTCAGAGGGTCCAGTTCTTACTGAACATATTCCTTTATAAACTGATTTCGGAGTTGCGTGGGACGCGCAGAGTCATCCTACTTGACGCCGTTTTTTTATAGCAAAAAAGTGAAGGCAACGATTCAGATGAGTTTAGTTGTACATTTTGCTTTGGGACGAATGTATTGTAAATCTAGATTAGGTGGTATTTGTCCGAATTGAAACTGTAGAAGGCTTGCATGTCATCAGCATAAGATTGACTAGAACAATGTTGAAGAGTGTTAGTGTATATGAGGAGAGGCCCTAACATGAATTTCTGGGGCACGCTGGAACAAATAGGACTTTTTGCTGAATGTTTTTACTATCACGACTTATTGAAGTCGTTCATATAAATAACTATAAGTTTCAGTCGTCAAATCCAATGTACTTACACTTGGAACACACACAAACGAAATATCTCTGTCTTCTTTATTTTACAGTTCTATGGCTCCATTATCTTACCAATGAATATTACTGTGTAGATAACCAGTACATAAGTCACAGTACGTATTACAAGTGTATGGCACGCCTTAGGTTCCGGTAGACATAGTACACAGGATGCTCAGTTGGCATCAGACCGGAGATTTCAACGCGTGTTAGCGAGGATGAGTCCACCCAGACGACTCTACATTTATAATTATTACAGTTATGGTTATGGTGATGGCCTAGATTGTAGGACGTTAGATTCACTTAAATAGGATGAGCTCACCAGTACTGCACAGCATCAGTCGTTTACGTATTCAAAGGAATTTTAATTTTATTTTTATGCGGAATGTCAAAACGCATGACAGCTGTTTTTTCCGTTTCCAGCATAATCGTATTTGGATTCTTCCCATGGTGTAGTTATCAGCGAATAACGATCAAAGACAGATTCAGACACCCCAAGACATACTAACGGGTGTAACAGCTGCAAATTACCCTGTGGTTTACATGTCGATAATTTCCCATGCTTGTTTGGCCAATAAAACCACAAGTATTGAGAAAAACTTATTCACTGTTAACGTTTTAATTCCATAAGTGATGTTCCTCACTACAATTACTGCACCTCTGCTGCCGGTCTTGATAAGTGTTCTGGTATAACTGCCGCGGCCGCATCTGGGTGAGTTAGGTGTGTTTAATTTCCCAGTTATACATGTTCGTTACTTTTTTTTCAGAGGTCCAACTTGAACTGAGCATAATTATTTATGAACTGATGACGGCGTTGCGTGGGAAGGGCAGAGTCAACCTACTTGACGCCATTCTTCATTAGATCGCATACTGCGATAATATCATGAGAACTAGTCAAACCTTTTTGATGCTTAAATACAAACTTGAAATGTTAAATGTAGCAAAGTAATAATTTTTTAGAAAATTGCTTATGCTCTTTTGCAGTATGGACTTACCAGTGGTAAACGTAACCAGACAAAAACTTGTCGCCAAGTGAAACCAGATGCAGTGCTTTTCAAAAAGGTGCCCCTCTGCCCCCAAGTTATTTTTTGAACGAATCAAGTTAGCGAGCTAAAATTCAGGGTTACGAAATTGATACAAAAAAGCATATTTTAGCGTGAAAGTGGAGGGGTGCACTTCAAGATGGTGACTAGGAGCCATTATGGAACACTTTTTAGGTGGAGCCGGAAGTTGTGTGATAATTCATACTGAAACTTCTTTTGAGAGATTTATAACTTTTGATCATAAAATCACCACTCCTCAAAATGACGAACTGGGCTGTTAAATTTGAGATTTTTGGTACATTGTGTCCCTTATAACTCAACAATCAATCATCATTACTCGTCATCAATCTTCTCCCCTTGGAAGGATCCATACGAATATTCAGTATAATACAGTTTAAGAAATTTTCAAGATCTGTAATTTTTTTCAACTGTGTCATATGTTATTGCACGTTCGGACCCTTAAAAAAGAAAAAGACATACTATCAGGTTTTGATGATTACTTTTTGCATTCTAAGCGACTTAATCTACAAATACGCTCAACATTGACAGCCTGCCTGACCGCCATTTTGAAAGAGTGATCGTATATTTTAGAATTATCAAGAACTTCAAAATGAGTTATCAACCACCCCCATTCTATATAAAAAACCATGACACCCAGCTGCCATCTTGGAATTTTTAACTGTTAAATTAAAAGTTAAAATATGGTTTTTATGCAATAATTTCATTACCTCGAATATCAGCTAGATAACTTAAGCCGTTCAAAAAATAAGTAAAGGGCGACCTTTTTGAGAATCACTGTATCATTAATCCAAACAAACCCCGGCAAGTTTTTCTCTGGGTACGTTTTTCACTGAAAAGTCCATGTCACTTATTGTTGAAAAGCGTAAGTAACAACTTCCTGATGTCTTATTTCGGTACGCGATGAAGCTGTATGGAATCTTATCGCGGTACCCGATGTATCCTGGTACAACAAATTTTAAATTTTTCTGGAATCAATTACACCGCTCCAATCAACATTTAACTTGACAAGCTTACTAGACTAGTTTTTGTCATATTATCTTAGTGTGAGACAATGAAAGCTTTAGAAGCCAGTATTTTCTTTGAGCTATTCTCTATGAAAGGCTTAATTTATGAAATTATGAGTTGCGAAAAACAAGAGCAAATCAAACAATGTCTATCAACTATACTTCATGTAACTAATAAAAAGTCGCGATTTCTATTCGCTAAACTATCTATTGGACGAAAATCTGGAAACGTACAAAATCGCTAGTTTCTGTTGACCTAGCGACCTGTCTATTTGCCTAGTTATTCGTGTACAGATACTCTATGACCCAGAAGGTAGTTCTCCGATTTTGAGTAAATGAGCAGAAATCATGTTTGCCATACTTTTATGTGTTTTACGAATGTCTGACGGCTTATGAAGCTAATCGTAATATACAATGTTTCCACAATATGTGGCAAAGATTTGACGGGTGTTTAATATTTGGTTTTTGGAAAAAATCGTACTTGACCTCGGGGATGTATTTTTAAGATCGTCCAAGGACCGAATATAAAAATGTTCCACATCACAATCTATTTATTACTTTTCCGCTCTACCACAACAAAATCTATATTTTTGCACACACATAAATGTAGAAACTGGAATGACAAGCTACGACAGATGGACAGCCATTTTGTTTATTGCATATTGCCTATCCACAATCCAAGACAAATCAGCACATTTGATTGCAAGAGAAAAAGACAATTTATCGCCTTTTATCTGAATGAAATGAGACTTCTTAGAACTCTTATGTCTTATTTACTGGATAAGTAATTTGACGCTAAATTCTCTTGGTGAAAACTACATTTTTAGTAGAACTTTCATATAGGCAATTAAATAAAGCAATCTCGGTTTATCCGCTAAAATAATCGAAACCATATGCATGTATTCGATATTAAAGCGATTTCGTTGAAACTTTGCCTTATTCAGTCGCTCACATAAAACCATGAAATTAAGTTCGGAATAGACGTTAACACTTGCTTTTCACTAGTAATCCAGGCGGATTACGACTGAAAAACACCGTGGGTAC